TTTTTTTGGTTTTTTTTTGCAGGAACTGGGGATTGAACTCAGACCCTTGCGCTTGCCAGGGAAGCGCTTATCCCACTGAGCCATCTCCCAGCCCTTTCAGTTTTTTTTTTTTTTTTTTTAACTTTGTATTTTATGTGTTTATGACAATTTAATCTTTGTTTAACCCAAATACATTCAGATTTTCCCCTTTTGTTTTATTCTAAAAATTTGATAGTTCTTGCTCTTTCATTTGGTCTATGATCCATTTCAGTGAGAGCCTTTGAACCTCAAATTAAAATGCTTTTTAGAAGACAGTTTGAAGCCCAAATTGCTGCATAAATTTGAATGCAGACACAATCTGTCTCTTCCTTCAATCCAGTTAAGTTGAGGGAAATGAAATATAATTGTTATTTTTTTAACCTATTTCTGGAAGCCTGGAAATTTCTTACTTTTCATCATTATAACATGTGTCCTCTCTTTTATTTCTAATATTATTAATATCTTTTCTAATTTTATTATTCAAGCATTTTATATCTTCACTTTGTTTGCTTCTTTAGTTTCTGATAGGAATATATTAAAATATTCCATTAAATGACCTTTTTCTGTTTGCTTTTGAGGTAGAGTCTTGCCATATAGTTCAGACTGGCCTTGGACTTACTATGTTGTGGAAGCTGGCCTTGAACACATAGCAACCCTCCTGCCTCAGCCTCTGAGTGCTTCGATCACAGGTGTGAGCCACCATACCAGACTCAGATATTTTATTTTTTGACTTGAAGAAAATTGTTTTGTTAAGCCCTAGGTAATCAACTTCTCCAAGTATTTCATTTTCATAGTTTCTTATATTTCACTCTTTACGATTATTTAAAAAAAACTAGCATAATTGTGGTTCAGACATGTGAACTATGACCATCCTTTGAATGGCATTTAGATGCACTTAAATTCTGGATGAAGAATGACTTTCTGTCAGTGCTTTAAGGATATATGACTCTTTATCTTCTGTGGGTCATAGGATCAATTAGTGTAAAATGAAATGTAATGGAGTAGGAAACGTTAGAGCATATAATATTTAGTTCTGTGAAACTTTATGTCAGTTTGTACAAATATACATGGACATATACATGATATTATGTGTGCATATCTATAACATAATTAAACCTGGACTATGTAGAAATTAACATCAACAATATATGAAATGGTAATAATTTGTGTTAAATCATGTTTGGGTTAATGATATGCATTAAGGTAATAAGATTCCTACTCCTTTTCCAGAGATTACGCAAAGTAAATCTATTCATTGATTTATGGACTATTAAACCCTTAAATGAGAATCTAGTGGCTATGCTATTTCTTTTATGTGGAAGACAGACATTTTTTTTCTTATAATGGTTGAACATTTTATAGCCCCTAGTAAAAATAATATCCTTGAGGGGCTGGTGAGATGGCTCAGTGGTCTAAAGCACCTACTTAAAACAAGCTCAGCAAAGCACAGGGACCACGGTTCAATCCCCCAGCACCACATGCCA